AAGTTGAGGACTTACTTATATATCATTGGAAGTTGGGGGACTAACTTTGCTATAAGCCCAATCACTTAGCATTTTTAAAACCCATTTCTTTTTCTTTTCCCCACCATTCACGTAGAGAAGCTGGACAGAGAGATAGAGACCGAAAAATGAGAAGAAAAAAGGGGAAAGAAGAAGGAAAAGAAAGGGAAAAAGAGGAAGAAAAAAGAGGAAGGAAGGAGAAGAAGGTAAGGTGGTTGTCAAGCTTGATTTTCATTTTTCAGTTTAGCTATTTTCTTGGAAGTAGAGATATATTATGTTAATTTCTAGGGTTTTAATTGGGTTCGAAAATTTCAATTCTTAGAGGACAAATTATGATTTATAGTTCAAACTCCTTGATTGGAAAGCTTCCAAGTGAACCAATGTAAGAAATATTATTTTTGGGCAAACCCTAGATTTTCTATTGGATGCTTGAATAAGTATTGTTAGTGCGAATTATAGTGGTAATGTAATACTTACAAGATGACATGATATTATGGATCAAGATGGTGATTTAATTGGTTGAATGCTAGTTATTAGTTTCACTAGATTGGAGTGGATTATTGCATTTATTCTTGGATGAAAGGTTATGTTGATGTATGTGGTTATTAGTAAATGGACTAGAAAATGTAATTGGTCCCATTTGATTAAATGAATAATTTGGGACATTTATTCAAATATCGAGAAATTTGATTGAAGGAATATAACATTACATTTTAGAGGTTTCTTGACCCGATAGTGGTTGAATTAGTTACCCTGTATGATTTTTCAGGTGGTGACACGGAGATTGGAAAAACCTACCGATCTTCATAGACTGTAGCTTGTTTTGAGTGAGTGGAAAATCTTATTTTTCAGAAATAAATAATTATTGAATTTATACTATATCAGAAATTATTTATTTCTTGTATTTGATTAGACAGCATGATTTTCAGAATCAACGGATTTTATACTCAATTCTTTTAAACTTAAATTGAGTTCATTTAATCATTTTTCTAGCATGTTATAATTATATTACATATTTCAGTATATTTCGAGTTAGTTTAAAACCATCAAAAAGTACCCAGGTGATTTTACCCCTGTCTGCACTGATGTGAATGTGTTTCCACAGTGTATGACTTCTTATGGTTATTTTACCCGATTTGTACTGGTGTGAATATGTTTCCACAGTTTATGATCACTTATGGTGATTTTACCTGCTTTGCACTATTGTGAATGTGTTTCCATAGTGTATGACCAGATTATAGCTTTGTGCGCGTATGACCAGAATTTCAGAATTTCAGAATCGAATAGCTTTGCCATGTATATCGGTACTTATCGATACATGAGTAAGGTTATTCAGGGTACCTTTTGGTGTGATATTTCAGTATTTCTACAGCTTATTGGGTTTTCAATTATAGAATTCAGATTAGTCAGTTTTCAGTAAATAGCTTTCAGCTTATAGCATTGAACAGCAAAAGATTTCAGAGATTTTCATTTATACTAGATTGCTTACATTCGTTATGTTTTATAGAAAATTATTTAGAATGAAGAATAAAGGATTTTATGATGCGGTCATGTTTTAAGTTTTTTTTTTAAAAGTATTATCCGATTTCATATTTTCTTAAAGTTCCAAAAGAGGAAGGATTTTCAGAGAATATGCATAAATGAAAGAAAATATTCTTATTTATTAGATATCCACTCACTGAATCACAAGCTCATATATTTTTTTCCACTTCTTTTCTTATCAAATAGTAGTTGAGTTGAGCAGCATTGGGGTCTAGCTGTCCATCGTGTAGAGCCACATTTTGTTTATAATTGTATGACTCATTTTGTCAATTTGCATGGAATATATTTTTGGGGTACATGCATTTGTTGTCAGGAAGTTAAAGTTGTAATTCATGTATCCATGTCATGGGCTCATTGCATATTGGGTATTTTGAGACTTTTTAAGTAAAATGATTGTAATTGTCGACTTTCTTGCTTTGTTTTTGAATGGTTTGATTTTTGAGGGGCTGGTGTACCCTGTTTAAAAATATATGTTCTGGTTGGAGGAGTTTAATTATTGTTCAGGTGGTTTTGGTCCAAATTACAAGGAAATTCTGTCAAAATTTTTATAAAAGTGTGTCACAGTTAGAATAAGTCATAGTCGCCTTGGTGGTAGGTCCGACACTTTGTTGGTATCTACCATCGGTGCACGACACGTGTCGGTCTATTAGGGTGACTTGGGATTGGTCGTGACATTTCCTCTCTGTGAACGGTGGTGTTTGGTTGTGGTTGGGTGCAATATTGGGAGCGAATTTGGCCGTGGTTGGAGTGCTATTTTGGGTACGAATTTGGCTGTGGTTGGAGTGCGAATTTGGGTGCGAATTTGGCAGTGGTTGGAGTGTGATTTTGGGTGCGAATTTAGCTGTGATTGGGGTGCGAATTTGGCAGTGGCAGTGGTGCGATTTTGGCAGTGGCAGTGGTGCGATTTTGGCTGTGGCTGTGGCTGGGTGCAACTCCTTTTCTCCCTTTTCTTTTTTATTTTGCTTCTGGTTCCTATTTGTGCGATTTTTTCGATTTGTGCGGTGCGGCAGTGGTGCAGCGATGTTTGGCTATGGCAATGGTGGAGAGATGGAGATAAGGTTCTAACAGTTTGTCTGTGGCATTGGTGGTGCCGTGGTGGTCACGGGCGTTGGAGGAGAGAAACTGGCGAGATGAGATAAGGAAGATCTAGTTGTGATTTGTGTATATGAACAGTAACTTCATTTCCCATGTTTCAATTTTGGGATGATTTGCTGGAAAACACCCAATTTTGGGATGATTTGCATTTTTAGTGTAAAAAAAATTTTCGTTTTCGAAAACGCATTTTCGGAAATAGTAAAGAGAACGCATTTTCACCGTTTTGAAAAACAGAAAACAGAAAACGGCAAAGAGAACGGCACCTTAACTTCTGCATCACATGCTTATATTTTCCATCTAGCCGACTATAGTAGCTAGGAGATCGATTTCCATTTTATGCAAGTGCTCATGTTGGCATGGTGCCTTTTTATCGCGCCAACACTCACACAATCTCTTCATTCTGTTTAGTGTAGCTTAAAGAGTTAATAAAAATTTAAATCAAAGTCAACAATTAATTTTAACCTTACATTTCATAGTATCCATAATTTTTATAAACTTTCACCCACAATTTCGTTGACTTTTATCAAAATTTATAAAAAAAATCTAGTTTGGAACTACACCAAACAAGATCGTTTAACAAAAAATTGTTAGATTGCACTAAATAATATAATCTACAAGAATAACATACTCGGTGAAATAATTATTTGGAACAAGTTGATGCAATAAAATTGGGAACTATGCTACTTGTACAATGAATTTGACAATAAGTTTGACAATGTGTGAGTTGGCAGACATTATATCCATTGATTTGAAAGATTGTTTTTAAATTTAATGATAATGATTTATACACCTTACACATTGTCAAAATCATTGTACAAATAATTTAATTCTACATAAAATGAGATAACATAAACATATGACTCTTTGTTATGTTATTGTTTGGCTCCCATTTGGAGAATTTATAAATTTTGAAACAGTGATTGATGTGAGAATATATGACTGAAAAATAATAAAATATTTTAAATTTGTGTGTAATATTATTTTATTAAAATTAAAAAAAAAACTATAAAATTTTAATGGGACCAAACAATGGCTATATATAGGGCATGTTCGGTACAGTTTAAAATTCAATTAAAATTGAAAATATGGTCGTTATTGGGTTCCACTCGTCTAATAAAAGTCAACAATAACGACTAATTTTTCAATTTTACTCTATACCGAACACGCCCACAATCTTTCTTTCTTATCAAAAATAAACTAATCCTCCACCTACTCTTTTTGATTTGTTTAATTTGATGATGAATAATGTGAATTTGACATCGGAAATGACAGATGAAAAAGTGACAACTAGTGATCGGTGCAAACATTATTATTTTTATTTATTTTTAATATTAGCTGTCTGTAGCAATGTTGTTTATTGATCCACTAGCCAATCGATGTCCCCACAAATATTTGTTATTTCGATACTATTTCTATAGTTGCTTCGTTGTAGACTTGCAGTTCTAAATGTTGGGTCCACAGTTCGCACTTTTGCCCTTTTCCCTTTACACGCAGTCATTCTAATCTCTTTTACTTCAAGAATCCCTACGCCATTTTGCCCTTTCTAGGATCTGTTTTGATTTCACTATCCCGTTTCTGATTATAAGATTGCATAGATTTCTAGAAGTACTCTGTCTGTACTGTCTTTCTAGATATTGAATATAAAAAGTTGCTTTTACTTTTTGCATTTTTTTCTCATCGCTTGTTCGTGTATCTGTTGACTCTATGGAAGAAAGAGGATCGATTTTAGTAGAAAATTTCGCTTTATTTCAAGTGGGTTTACATTCCTCTTCAATCTTAAGCAATAATTCCTCAAGTCGGTCGGCTTTGATTCGATCTTAGTGGTTCAGTTTTTGGTGAATTTTGAGTTTTTACAAGTGGGTTTTGACTAAAAAGCTTCCTTTCTTGAAAATTCCTTGTTTTATGGAAACAATTTTAAAAAGATGTGATTTTGATGTCTATCCTGGGATTTTCATGTAAATTATTTGTAAACGTTAGAGATTCCGAACAATTGGGAACTTGGTTGAAAAATTAAGAGGGGTATTGCGAAAAGGAGTAAAGATGAAGAGAGGGAAAGATGAAGGGAAAATTATGGAGCCTATGTTTCCAAGACTTCATGTGAATGATACAGAGAAAGGAGGACCAAAAGCACCTCCAAGAAACAAGATGGCTCTTTATGAGCAACTGAGCATCCCTTCACAGAGATTCACTCATAATACCGTGAATTTAGTCCCTTCGGCTTCTTCAATCCAGGTTACTCGAGTATTCAGATTTATTGCTTGTGATTTCTGTATCCTGATCTTTTTAGTTCACGGATGAATCTTGGTGTTATATCATTAGTAGTTTTATTGATGAATTGCACGGTTAAATATTATAATTTCTAATTGAAGTGTAAGGTTCACTAAATAATTTGTAACTTGTAACTGTATTTATCGGTTGATTTTGCCCTTGTCTTGTTTTATGACTGCGTTAAGTTATGTAGCTTTATTTTGCTATCATGGTTTTGTCAATATTCTGTATGTGTATTTATGGTCAAATTGATGGAGAGAAAAGCATCCTTGAAAGTTGCAACTTGGTGCAAGAATCTCACGCTAGAGAACACTTGAAATATGTATTGGGTCATCTAGGTTGTTTATTCATTATCAGCGAAAACAGGAAAAGAACAAGAAAAGGATGAGAAGACCTTAAAGAGTCGGTAACTTGGACAACATCTGTCTTTGTTGATGGAATCGTGCTACTTAAGCTTTTAGTTTATTGTTGAATAAGATCATTAGAGTTATCTCCTCCTCGTGATAGTCAGTCCTTTGAGATATTTTTGCTTCTGTAACCTGAATATTGCTCTGATTGCTGCTAGCAACTCGTGTTTGCAGGGGGGTGGAAATGAAAGTGGCACATTTTTCCCACACCAGCTGCCTGCCAGACATCAGGCTGAGAAGCTACATATCCAACATTCTGAATTGAGCAGTCCGTTAACACAAGTTGAGCAGAAAAAGAAGTCTCATGAAGATGATTTTACAGTTCCCATCTTCATTCATTCTAAGCCGAGTCAGGACCCTAGTGAATATTTTATTGATGTTGAAAGAGAAAAACTCCCTCCCTCCAACCCTACTTATCTTAATCCATCAGTGAAATTTATGAAAGCCAATCAGACGAGCTTGATCGGACACCGTATGAGACAAGAAAGCAAAAGGCGGAAGGAAGGGAATTTGAAGGAGTTTGTTTCTTACCAAGATTCATTAGTGAAAGCCATCTCAAATTCTTCTTCAACAAATAAGAACGGAGATCTGCAGAAGCAAAGGGATGATCCTGGTAATAGTATCGACAAATTGAAGACCGATTGCAGAATACAGTCAGAGCTCAGTGCCCAGTCGCAACCTGCTGGTACTGTGCATAGTAATGTTGTTACGAAGAAGCATGGTACAGACATAGTGAAAGGAAATTCGTCTATTCCAATGAAGGATTTTCCATCCGGAGAGCAGGACATCAGTAATGATGCTGATACTCTCGTAGACAGGGGTGACAGTGTGTATGAGACTTCAATGGTAGATTCTATATCTGCATACGATGTATCACCTGATGACGTTGTCGGAGTAATAGGTCTGAAACATTTTTGGAAAGCCAGGAGGGCTATTGTTAAGTAAGTTCCAATATTCATTAATATATTATCTAATCTTTTTTTGTATGGAGGATTTGGACAAGTTTCTGCAAGACTCGAAAAGAGAAAAAGAAGTGTACTGCCATAAAATAGATTGGTAGTTATGTGGAACGTTGAAGGTTTACGTGTTTACATAAGAAGTCATGCACAAACCAACTAAATTCAATCACTTTGTGGCTAGAAGTAATTGGCTCTTCAATTGGTTATAAACGTCTTAACATTTGCTATAGTTGTAATGATGATATACTGATGTTATGTAAAAGTTGAGTTAATTTTTTTTTTTTCAATGTGTACCCATAAAAAATAAAATCTGAGACGCTAAGTTCTGGAGCGAGTCGGGAGCAGGAAAAACTAAAAGCTTGTACAACGTGGGTTACCTTTTTCTCCCTCTGGATAGGAACTCTTTCATGTGCTTTGGTTTGCTGGCTAGCTTATCGGAACATAAAGCTTTGCAGTTTCTGCAAAAATAACTGCTTAGTTGCATCTTATAAGGAAAACTTAGAACTCTTGTTTTCCATCTTATCAGAATATAGTTATGCCATTTCTTATTTGACATTTTTATTAATTCAAACATGTTGATTCAAGTTCAGATAGTGCCTAGACAGGTTGGAGATTTTCTGTCGTGTGTTTTTCTACGTCAGATATCACAATTTAATTGCAGGCAGAGGGATTGAATTATTTTCCAAGAATAAGGTATATATTATAGAGTATAGTGGCATATTTGGTATGGGTGTTTGGGTAGTACTCCACATTATTAAGGAAGAAAAAGAAGCTAAATTTTGTTCATTATTGTATCCAGTGCCAAACACTTAATGTGTTTGATTGTGCACAATGCCTTATTGTCGGCTTTAACAAAGCTTTGCTGCATGTGTTTGACCCTATCTTTCTTACTCTTTACAGTCAGCAAAAAGTTTTTGCAGTTCAAGTATTTGAGTTGCATAGATTGGTAAAGGTGAGGGCAGTTGTTCAGCTTCCAGCATTACTGGGATGGAATGCAATCTCGTTATTTTTATTTGCTTATACGTATTGCTAAATTGCTGTATGCAATTTTCTATTTCGTAACAGGTTCAGAGATCGATTGCTGGTTCACAGCATCTTTTGCTTGAGGATGCTGCTTATTTGGGCAAACCCATAGAGGCTTCGCCTGCAAAGAAACTCCCACTGGACTATAATGTTGAAGTGCCTCTGAATGTTTCCGAGCGCAAAAGGGTCTTAGATAAGCCGAGCCATCCAATGGAATGCTCTGCTGAGAATACTGTGGAGAAGGAATCTCTTTCTTCTGTGCAATATAGTGTACCGCCATTTTCAGGAAACCCTCCTGCGCCATCGGTAAGTGGTGCCAACAATTTTGGACCGTGGTGGTTTAATCAACCAAATGGGCACCAGTGGTTGATACCTGTGATGACTCCTTCTGAAGGACTCGTATACAAACCATATCCTGGATCAGCATTTATGGGCCCAGTCTTTGGAGGTTGTGGACCCCACAGATCAACTCCAGCATATGGGCTTCCAGCTCCGTATCATCAATATCACCTACCTTATTTTCCTCCAGCCAGACCTCATGGATACTTTCCTCCGTATGGCATGCCACTTGTGAATCCAGCCTATTCGGGTTCATCTGTTGAACAAGTAAACCAAGTTACCATGCATGACCAATTATCAGCTGACGAAGCTAATCCTGGTCCGCGACATCAACAGTCCTTTGATATACTGAGCCAGAAGAGCGGCGCTTTTCCTGAAGTTTCTACATTGTGTGCATCTAAGGATAGTGAATTGAAAGCCTGCACAACAAGTAATCCGAGTGAAAGTGGAACAGGTAATGCTATGGAAGGAAGAAACATGTTTCAACTTCTCCCCACGTCTCCAAGTCTCGATTTCCCCGACTGCAGCCCTCGGCCTTCCTTACCTGAACGCACTGCACAAGTGATCAAGGTTGTGCCTCACAATGCCATAACTGCAACGGAATCCGCTGCTCGAATTTTTAGGTCTATACAAGAAGGGAGGAAACAGTATGATTCAGTTTAGCCAAAAATGAGTTTAGTTGATCTTTCTCCTGAAATATTTCCTGTAATTGTGTTACTGAAATATATGAATGTAGGTGCAGATTCTGTATGTAATATTCCAAGAGATGTTGTATGCAGTTAATTTTTGTAATAGTTTTTGAGAATTTGCCTTGAAAAATAATTCAATAATTCACAGTTTTGGTTTTTAGATAATAATCGCGTTTGAACAGTTTTAAAGCAATGCTGTCAAACAGGATGAATAGCTTTTTAGTTTTTAAGTCTCCGTTTGGGAGCCATTCTTTTTTCAAATAATACATTTTTTCTTTCACATCAAGTGAGGTCAATAACAGAAAAGAGATACAAAAAGGTGTGATTTGAAACAAAGAATGCAAAATGGTAGAAAGAGACACAAAAAAGGTATGATTTGACACGAAAAATGCATTTTTTTGTAGAAAAATGGTTACCAAACGGAGGCTAAATTATAGCAACATTTGGCACTGCTTGAATTATAATTTAAGTTTGTCAAAATATTTTCTATTATATAATTAGCCTCTGTTTGACACCCATTTTTTCTCATTCTCATTTTTTTCTTTTTTCTTCATTTCAACCACACATTCTATCAATAAAATAATACTACACATAAATCCAAAAATTCTCAATACTTTTTAACCACACATTCTTCCATCAATCACTATTCCAGAATTTATTTTTTCTTCAAAATGGGTGTCAAACGGGGGCTTAGTATGATTCACAACTTATTACTCATTATCGAGACATTCTGTAAAACTAATTGTTTATCAATACTTAAAATCTATGCCAAACCAACACTTATTTAGCCCCTGTTTGGTAAGTTAATTTCAACAATTAAATTTAATCACACATTTTATGGAACTCGTAACTTTTTAACTACATTTTTTATCAAAATTTACTAAAAATATGATATTAATATCTACCAAACAGGGATTAAAAGACCTCATTTTGGAGGTCAAGGTGCAAAATGATGCCCTTCTTAGCATCTTTCAATTGACAAAATGTCTATATTACCATGATTAAGGTCAATTCTCTAGAGTTTCAAATAATTTTATTATCGCTTAAATAACTTTCTCGTATCTTTTTCGTACGTGCATACATGCAAAACTAAACTCGATGCATGCTCGAATGACTTTATTATTGATCAGACTTTTGCTAAATTATTGCAAGCATGTACTTTTTTCTCCTTTTTTCATTTAAACTCAAAAATGTACTATAGATTCACTTGTATCTAGATTTTTTTTAAAAATCAAACTCTTGTTTGGTGTAGATTAAAATATATTAAAATTTTAATTCAAAATTAACAAATAATTTTAATCACATATTTTGTTCGATCCACAACTTTCTAATCATATATTTCATCATTTTTTTTTATCAAAAGCTGATTTTAATACAAACCAAACAGGGGTAAAGTACCACAAAGTAACTTGCGACTATTTTAACTAGGGTAATTATATTCACACTATAATTTTTATTGCTTGCACCACATTTTAATTGCACATAAAGTTCTTAATCTTTGTTCATTACAACACTTATATCTCTAATGATTTTTCATGTCATTCTTGTTCTCAAACTTTTCATTAGTTAACACATTTTGTATTTGATAATAGCTTTATGTCCAGAAGTTCGTTGAATTGATATAAAATAATTTTTTTTGATATAAACTATCATCAAAGACGAGACTTACCAATTAATAGAAGATTCAAGATAAGAATTTGACTGAAAAAAGTAAGGAAATAATTGTCACAGTAAACAAATATTGATAAACTTAATTATAATTAAAACGTGGGGTATGAAAATTGGACGAAGATAAACCGCAGATGATCCCGTTCTTTGACCTTTTATATTGACACTGAAATTCGGGAGAATTTTGCCTTTCTAACATGACCTCCCGTCATCAGACCCACACTCCACTGCTACCTGACTCTGGTAATTCATTTCTATTTTCCAATTTAATGTAATTCATTTACCTTATTTTGATACGAAAACAATTAATTTCTTGATTTTTGATTTTTTTTTTCCTTTTTTACATCGTCAAATTCAATTGTGGTTTTCATGCTAAATGTGATCTGATGAATTTACTTTTTGATCGATTATAAATGTGAGATTTCTGTTTATGCGTGTTTGTTAGCTTTTTATTTGTGGAACATTCTCGTTTTTTGTTGTTTAATAATCAATTCCTGTTTTGACAGCCTCAAAGTTTATGTTATTAGTTATTACTATTAATTTTTGTAACACGATTTTTTTTTTTTCGTTTCTGTTGCTTTAATGTTGTTTCATGTAGTTGAATTGATTAAGTCTTCATTTGAACTATTAAGGTATTGGCCGTGGAGGCGCACTCATTGCGTGAGATTACTATGCTATTAACAAAGATGAGTAGTACATCAATGATGAGAATTTAAATACACAGCAGCTTTGAAGCTTAAAATTGATAGAGGACTTGCAAATTTATGTGATATCTGGGTGATATGGTTATGCATTTTGTGTTGAACCTTGAGTATATAGGAAGGGAGAGTTTGAAAGGTTATTGTCCTGGAAATTATGTGACGCGTTTACGGGCATTTGATTTAAACTTGTTTTTGACCATTTGGAGTGATAATGTTGCAATTTGAGCTACAAAACACTATCCCAAACTAGGATTTATTCTCAGCTTGTCGTAATATTATTTTAGAGATCTAAAACCAAGCCTTATTCCCAAGTGTTTTACGTTATGTATACTGATTCATATGTGATATTTGGGTTAGCTCAATATATCAATGCATGCATTCACAGTGTCAACATTGTTCTATGAAATGGCTTTTTCTTGTTTATTTTGCTGCGTGGCATTACATCTCATGTTTTTGAGAATGGCATCAGTAGGAATAAGAGCACTTTCATTGATAATACACATGAAAGGTCCCTTGACTGGTTTTTTGTAGGTGACGAACCTTACAACAATGAGGAGCATTTGTCTCCAGTTCCAATCCATGTTGTTACCAGTTCATGTCAACTTCCTGCTGAATTTCTGGAGCCATCACCTGAGAAGCAGCTGGTAATAGGCTTTGATTGTGAGGGGGTTGACCTTTGTCGCCATGGAACTCTTTTGTATCATGCAGGTTTGTTTAAATATTATTATCAACGTATAGTTTTTCCCCTGCAGAACTGAGAGTTCTTTCATGGTCATGGTATCATTTTTTTCAGTTTCAAACCATATTTCATGGAGACAACCATGTCAATGTTCTTTGATATGCACACGATCTTTTGTGGACCCCTAAGTGTATTGAGTGAGAAGCTTGTATGCTATTTCTTTGCATTTTATATACTCATTTATATTAAATTCTTAAAATTACCTCATTAAAATGTGGGACAAGGGATAATATGTGACTTTGAGAACAGGTTTTCGGGTCTAAGTTCAACAATTCGACGAGCAAGTGACCAAGTCTAGTATTTGAGAATTAGATGTAGCAATTATAAAGTGTGTATATAAGTTATATTTTCGTTAAAATTATTTGAGAATTAGTATTGTTAAATTATTAAATGAAGATGAAATTTCTCATTAAATTACCAATTAAACAAACATAAGAATAAAATTATTTATCATAACATTGGTGTACTTCCTATTATTGTAAACAACTAAACATTTATGTCACATGTAAATTTGTTCAACCAATTGTTTGTCTTCTACAGCTTGTCTTTCCAGATGCAATATATTTGGTTGATGCCATTGAGGGTGGTGGGATGCTTGTAAAAGCTTGTAAGCCTGCACTGGAGTCTAGTTACATCACTAAAGTTATTCACGATTGCAAACGAGATAGTGAGGTCTCTTATTGTTGTCTTCCCCCCTTGAATCTCCATATGTTGTGGAAGATACCATATTATTTTTCTCCTTTTATTGCAGGCGTTATATTTTCAATTTGGCATCAAGTTGCATAATGTTGTGGATACCCAGGTTAGCTGCCCTTTCCTTCAGTTCTATTGTGGATGTTATCCAGAGGCCATATTGTTATACAGAAATATAATTGACCAGAATGACATGGAGGTAATATTTTTTAGCTCCACATTCCCTGAAGCAGGGATGTAATGTATGCTGTTGAGGATCATATTTAAAAAAATAGATAAATTATGAAACTAAATACAAAGTTCAGGGTAGTCCAAAGTTTTAGTTCATGATTTAACAAGGTTTTGCTACAAGAAATAGTCTTTCTAATTTTGATATTACTTCTTAACCAGTCATGGGCTTCTTTGAGTCAACAACAATTTCTTTTCGTTTTCTTTTTTTCTGCTTTTAACCTTCTGGATGACTGGGCTCGAGCTCTACCCAGATGGCCAGATCAACGTGTTCAGGCTCTACTTGGCTCTAGGGAATATGGAACTTTAGCTTTTTGATTTTCGGTTTCCAAATTTGAAAAATATGTACTTGCACTTTCGGGGAGAGTTGGATGCGGGGAAAATTTGATGTAGCATTGCTAATCTTTTGCTTTTTCCCTCTTGTTCTCATTACTTAAATGTTAATTATTGGTGGTGGTTTTTATAGACGATTGTATTTAATGATAACAATGTAATTAAAATTAATATTTTCTTCACAAGCAGATTGCTTATTCTTTGATTAAGGAACAAGAAGAACAGAAAAGAGCACCTTATGACTACATTTCATTTGTTGGCCTCCTCGCCGATCCACAATACTGTGGTATATATTGCATTTCTGGCTCTCATTATTTACGTCGTTCCTTGTAATGGAACACTTTGTTTATGGTGTACCTGTTTGATATTTTTATTCTTTGCTCGTGAAAATGGGCCTTAAGTCATTTTTATGAAGGCTTTAGTTTCTAATAATAGCCTGTATATCAAAATGCAAGGATGGAGGACTTTCAGAGTATGAGCTATATTGAACTGGGAATAACTAGGATATGCATTTGAATATATTGATCCAGGAAAATAAGTTTTATTAGAGGTTTGGAAGGATGTTAGAACGCAGTGTACATGACTGAATGCAGGAACTATGGACCATCAAAA